TGTTAGTAATAAGTGGGTAGCCATGGCGCGTCAAAACAAACCCCCACCATCTTCCCACTGGCGCCAGGGGCATGGCCTCCGACTGGCAGCTACGTGAAAATGGAGCGTTCTGATTAGTCGGTGGTCGTGGGAGGTGATAGGTAATTAATGGGAGCGTTCTGATTGGCTGACTCCGTAGCTGCCCGGCGCGTGATTAGCTCTAGTCATAGTGCCCCAAGTGTGTGATTGGTTGTCGAAATGCTAGACGAAAAGTAGGGAAAGAGGGAGAAAGTCTGGGACCGATCAGGGTCCGAAAACAAAATAGCGTCTGCGAAAAGAAATATGACGGGTCTGTAAAAGGAATATACTTGTCGACAATGGAATGCGATTTTTTGTGACACACGGATGGGGCGTAGAGAAGAAAATTGATTTTCTGCGAGTTTTTATTAGGTATATGGGATATGACGTTTTCTTAGGGCGAAAAGTTTCTCGGCGCCTCATAGTCGGTGAATTTAGATAAATTTCTCGACCCGTTTGACATTTTTTGTATAGAGGAAATATAGGTTTATAGAGTATATAAGTTTTGAAGACGTGAGGTTTGTCGGAGTGTAATAACCGTTAGAATTATTCTGCGTGTCGTATAGTATTTGGGGGAGGAAAACAGGAACGGACAGGTTCACACTAGAGGTTTCTGACGATGACGACGATAACTATGCAAGCATACTGACGAACTTGGAGTTATACGAAGGTTTTATCCTAACCACAAACACGTGGGCTGAAAAAATTTTCTTTTGACACGACGATAACTATGCAAGCATACTGAAGGGAGAGAGAGAGAGAGAGAAATGTGCGGGTCGGGAAAGCATAGAGGTACTAGAAGACAATAGGAAAACACGCTCGCGCAGGCTCGCGTAAATGACTTTTAAAAAAGAGGAGTTGTGAAAAATTTAGGATAAAGGGAGAGATAAAGAAATGACATAAATTTGAATTTATGTTATCAAGTATAAGTGATATGTTATCAAGTATAATTGAATTTATTTTCGCATATATATGAATATGTTTTGTTACAGAGTTATTCTTCTTGTTACAAAATTAAACGATTCGGTTATTGTATAAAAATTATAACTCACAATTCAATAAAATTATAGTAGTAATTTCTTTAAATTTTAATGTAATTAATTCAAAAAATACAATATCAAAATATGTATCTAAAAACGCAAATAAATAATTTATTTGCGTTTTCACAGCAAGTTCGATATCCTTTTGGTTGCCTCGGACAGTGAGTTTGACGATATCGGCGTCGATGTAATTGTTAGGTAGACATAGTTCTATCTCTTTGATCAAATAACGTGCGCACTCGTTAACAGTATCGATGACGGATGCTAGCTGGTTTATACGAGCATCGACACATTTGACGATATTCTCCATTCCTTGAAAAGTAGCTTGTTGCAACTGCGACGGAATAAGTTTCCTTTTTTCGACGGAGGTTGTTCCTCCGTTTTCGAGTCTGCTTGCGTATTTCCAGTGTAACGGAGCGCATCTCTCCGCTCCATTCCTCCTCCGATTTTCCCCCGACCGATCATCCGTCGGGGACCGCCGAACACCAGGCGGAGTGCGGCAGTGGCCGCAAGAGGCAGTAATGCCTCCTTTTTTAAAGTTACAATACGCGAACTCCGAAGCGTCGGAGAATACCACGAAAACATGTATGTTTTTGTGGTATTTCCTCGCACCGCGCCACGCGTCGCGCCAACAAGCGCTAACGCACTCCGCACCGCGCCACGCTCCGTACTACCGAGCGTGAACGCGTCCCGCGCCGCACCGATGCCGCGCTACGCAACCGAGCGAGCATCCCGCATCGCGCCACGACCGCGTCCACAAGCACGTAACCACGCACCGCGCCGTTACCTTCCCACCAAATTCCTTCCCTACCTTTAATCATCCCCCGCTCCTATTCCGTCTAATCCCCAAAAAACCAATTATACCCGATCCTTTTTTCCGCTCCTGAGGAGAGGGATGCTAACCCCGAGATCGACCAATCCGACCGATCCGACCGAAAATACCGAGGTCGATCTCGGGTATAAAAAGGCATCGCTCTCCACAGGAAATCACTCCTCGTTGACTCCTGTTCCTAGCTCGTTTTCCGAGAGCCCGTCTCAAGAAAGCGAGCATCCGAAACCGATAGCAAGCTTGAGTTTTGTTAGGGCCTTCCCCAATGCGCCAAGTTCGCTTGGCCTGGCCAAAAGCCGTCTCCGTATCTCGCACGGCAAGCCGAGAGTTGCTGGGGTCTCCCTCGCGCGTCGAGTTCGCTCGATCAGACTCCGCCGTTTCCAAGATTTCTCCGCCGGGCATCGGGGTTCTCCCCGATACCACCTCTCCAAGCACCAGGGTACAAGGTCGGCCGAGTACACTCGGCACTGCCACTTTCTTCTCCGCACACAGCTGGGGCCCTCCCCGGCTGGCCGAGTTCACTCGGCATTCACGCAGACAGACGAAGGGCGCACCCCCCGTCAGCCGAGCCCTCTCGGCAGGGAATGGGCACACCCGTTCTCCGGCACTCCGTTCTCGGATCTAAACGATTCGACGACTTCGCGAATATCTACCCTCGCGACAACACCGGCGACACGCGTGCACGTTTTCAATCACCGCCGATTTAAAAGTCCGCGACGAACACGTGCGACACCGCTGCCACCGCGCGCGCCCCGCTGCCACCGAATTGCGCGCCGCGACCAGTATCGCGCCGATCCCCAGAACGATATCTCATTTTGTATCCACAC